GTGACACAGAGTTGGGGATCAGGACCTCTCCTCCGAGGCTCCCACGCTTCCCTATATGGTGGATGGTGCAGCCATGTAGAGGCTTCTTCCTTTGACGTTCAGCCTCACCAAAAGAAGGCATGTGGAGCGAGCCTTGGAGTTCAGACGAGGTGACCTCAGAGTTGGGGATCAGGACCTCTCCTTCGAGGCTCCCACGCTTTCCTACATGGTGGATGGTGTAGCCACGTAGAGTCTTCTCCCTTTGGCATTCAGCCTCGCCAAAAGAAGGCATGTGAAGTGAGCCTCGGAGTTTAGGCGAGTGACCCCAAAGTTGGGGATCAAGACCTCTTCTCCGAGGCTCCCACGCTTCCCTACATGGTGGATGGTGCAACCATGTAGAGATTTCTCCCTTTGGCGTTTAGCCTCGTCAAAAGAAGGCATGTGGAGTGAGCTTCGGAGTTCAGGCGAGGTGACCCCACAGTTGGGGATCAGGACCTCTCCTCCAAGGTTCCTACGCCTCCCTACATGGTGGATGGTTCAGCCATGTAGAGGCTTCTCCTTTTGGCATTCAGCCTCGCCAAAAGAAGGCATGTGGAGTAAGCCTCGGAGTTCGGGCGAGGTGACCCTAGATTTGGAAATCAGGACCTCTCCTCCAAGGCTCCTACGCTTCCCTACATGGTGGATGGTGCAGCCATGTAGAGATTTCTCCCTTTGGCATTTAGCCTCGTCAAAGGAAGGCATGTGGAGTGAGCCTTGGGGTTCCGGTGAGATGACCCCAGATTTGGAGGTCAGTACCTCTCCTGCGAGGCTTCCACATTTTGAGAGTCGTATATGAATTTAATGACATTTTATTGAAGCTGAAAATTATGTTACATAAGCTAGGAAAGATCCTCCAGCGATGCACTACATTCATTGGTAGTAAATTCTGAGATGCTCAATGTTCCATGGACTAGGCTGTGTTTTACGGGGTGCCTTTCTTCTTAGCACAGAAAAGGACACCGTGCGGCAGTAGTCTGCTCCGCTAGACTACCTTTCGCCTTTTCTCGATCGCGTCGGGACGAAAGAAAATTTGATTACAATTTTGTAGAAAGCTTACAATAGAGAATTTGAATACATTAAAAGTAAATTGAATATTGATTGATAAAAACTAAACATTACAATTGACGAAAGCAGAAAATTACAATTGCTGGTGCAGGGGGCGGACACCAATGAGCTTGAAAGATTTTTGAATGACTAATACCCCCTATAATAGCATTCTGAACAAAAACCTAAGTGACAGGAGTAGACGTTTAAAAACAAGGAATCATACTAAACGTTTACCAATATCAGAGCTATTTTACAGCTGAAATAACTATTACAATGAAAAAAAAATTACAACTCAAACTTGAAGTAATATTTACAATGTGCGATCGAAATTGGGCAAACTGGAGCTGCAATAGTGTCAAGGGGCTAAGTAAAGCTGCAGTCCTTGACATTCTCCCCCATTTGTTTTGACGACGTCCTCGGTGCCATCAATATATGATATGCTTCAATTAATGGTTTGAAGGCTCCGAGATCTTTTTCTCTTTCCCAAGTACTCTCCTCGTTGTTGCATCCCGTCCATTTGACCAAGTACTATTGATGATCTTTTCTAGAAGTTTGAGTGATTCGATAGTCAAGAATAATTTCAGCAACCTTCTTTCCAGCTTTCTTTAGTTCAAACACAGATCGCTTTGGCTCATTTCTAGATGCGTCCTCCTTATCTGCAAAGTATGGCTTCAACATACTAATATGAAGGACCTTGTGGATTTTACACCATGAAGGGAGTTCAACTCTGTATACAACTCTTCCAATTCTCTTCACAATGGGTAATGATCCAATGTATTTTGACGACAATTTTAAGTCCTTCCCTCTTGTTGGTTTGTAAACATTTCTATTGGGAAGCTTAACCATTGCCAGATCTCCAACATTGAATTCAATGAAATAGCGCTTTAGATCTGCAGCCTTTTATACCTTTTTGAGCTTTCTCAAGATAACTCCGAGCAATTTCAATATTTCGTTTCCACTCTTGAGAAAAGTTCTTTGCTTGGGGGGACTTGGTACTTCATTCGATATCCACTGTATGAAGGGATAGCGGTTGCTGGCCAGTAACAATCTCAAAAGGACTCTTATTGGTAGAAGAGCTCTTTTGGACATTGAAGCAAATTTGGGCCGCATCCAAAAGTTTTACCCAATTTTTCTGCGAAGTAGAGATAAAGTGCCAAAGATATTCTTCTAGCATAGAATTTAAGTGCTCCGTCATGATGTCCTCAAATTCCTAAATAAGCCTTTTAACGGGTTTTGGAATAGGACCATTCACCTCTTCGATCTCCTCTAATCGAAAAGTGCACAAAAAAGAGGGTTCATTTCTCTTGAAACCCTTACTAAATTGCATGGCTGAGATACTCTTCTCGCCCATCCTCCCAACCTGTGTAGGGATGACACGCGGCTTATTACCCATCATCATTAATGAATCGAAATATGGCAACACTGCTGTCTTAGTATCCCGAAGAAATTCCAATACTAGAATAAGCTTGAAATCATCCATCTGAACTGCAGATAAATTTGTCCTTCCCTCGAAAGGACCTGTTTTGATTAACACCGATTTCGCCACTCCAGCTATTGGTTGAACAGCGGAGTTGATTGCTTTGACTTTTCCACTACCCTTTTCTAGAACAAGTCCGTGTCGCTCTACTTCGGTACATGCAAGGTAGTTGTGGGTAGCACCAGTATCCACCATAGCCCTGATTGGCTTCCCATTGATTTTTACATCAATGTACATTAAGCTTTTGACCCTACAAATTCGAGTCTTCGCTTCTTCCATCTTTGACTCTTTCAATGGGACATCATCCTTTTTAGCAACCCAATGTGACAGTGTGTTGCACCGATGTGAAAATGCCCCAACTACGTCATCATCATCTTCGGAGTCGGTCTCACTATGATAATTAGCATGCGGGGCTTCTTGCTTTGAACTTGACCCGCCACTTGCTAACTGAAATATGCATTCACCATCTGCTTCTGAGGACACTCCGACACCCGATGAGTTCCTTTACATAAAAAGCACTTCAATTTGGGAGTGACATAGTTCAGCCCTCCATTGCTTTTCATTTGTTCCAGTTGTTACTGTTGCTGCCGTTAAAATTTCCTTGACGGCTATTATGATAGTTTTCCTGAAAGTCATGGGTGCTTTGATAGGCTCCTTCTCTATTCTGAGAGTAACACTCTCCCTCATTTGGATTCGAGCTGGGTCTGTAAGATCTGTTACCACCTCCAATTGCTTAATTACTCCCCGAAGGTCAATCTTTTCTAGATTTTGTTTGGTAGTTGCTCAAGCATTCAGCGGCTCCCATGGCCATGCTCAAATCAGTAACCTTCTGTCTTTGAAATTTCGTGCGTGTCCACGGTTTCAACCCTTTAATAAAGGTGAAGAGTTTATCCTTTTCTGACATATCTCGAATATTCAGCATATGCCCTGAGAAGGATTTCACATACTCCCTGATAGAGCTCTTGTGTTTCAAGTCTCAAAGTGCCCATCGAGCTTGATACTCGACATTTTCCGGGAAAAAATGCGATTTGATCGCTTCCTTGAGGAGATCCCAAAAATCTATTCGAACCCTGTGGGCGAGAAAGTATTGTTCCATATCAAACAAGAAGTTTTCGACTTCCTTTGCATCACGTGCCCCTACGTAGGTACACGGTTCAGAAATTCTGAATCTAGGAGCATACTCAGGTACGGGAGCTTGCCCATTGCCCACCGCACGTTGGAGTACCCGTAATTAAGCTCTCAACGCTTCCATTTCATCCTGCAGATCAGGAATGATTGCAGCAGCTTCAGTCATTGCTGCGCAAGCCCTTTGGCTTTCATCCAGTTGGATGTGTAATCCACGAATCTCGGATTCAGCCATCTCAACTTTTTCCTCGAGACCTTCCAAAGCATAGCACAACCTAGTAGTTGTCTCATCAAGTGCATCCACGCGTTGTTTAGTAGTACCCTTCTTTTGAGGCTCTACCACTTCAGTGGTGTGGAATGTAATTGGATCCTCAGCTTTCTTATCGAGGGTCGTGAGCCGCAGCTCTGATACCAACTTTCACGGGGTGCCTTTCTTCTTGGCACAGAAAGGGACTTTGTGTGGTAGTAGTCTGCTCCGTTAGACTACCTTCCGTCTTTTCTCAATCGCGTCAGGACGAAAGAAAATTTGATTACAATTTTGTAGAAAGCTTACAATAGAGAATTTGAGTACATTGAAAGTAAATTGAATATTTATTGATGAAAACTGAACATTATAATTGACGAAAGTAGAAAATTACAATTGCTAGTGCATGGGGTGGACACCAATGAGCTTGAAAGATCTTTGAATGACTAATACCCCCTATAATAGCATTCTGAACAAAAACCTAAGTGACAGGAGTAGACGTTTAAAAGATGAGAAATCATAATAAACGTTTACCAATATCAGAGCTATTTTACAACTGAAATAACTATTACAATGAAAAGAAAATTACAACTCAAACATGAAGTAATATTTACAATGTGCGGTCGAAGTTGGGCAAACTGCGGCTGCGATAGTGTCAAGGGGCTAAGTAAAGCTACGGTCCTTGACACTGTGCCTTGCCATCGATGTCTTCAATTCTGTAGGTGCCGGGTCGGAGTTCTTCCTTAAATCTGTAAGGGACTTCTCAGTTTGGACCCATGGTACCTTCTCCAAGTCCTTTGGAGGAGAGGAAGACTCTCCTAAGGACCAAATCATTGATTCGGAAGGACCTCTCCTTCATCTTAGAATTGAAGTATTTGGTCATTTTCCTTTGATAAGCGGTGAGCCTCAGTTGGGTGTCGTCTCTTTTTTCATCAATGAAGTCGAGGTTGAACATCCATAGCTCGTCATTAGATATTTCGCTGAAGTGTAGACGATGCAGTGATGGTAAATCGGCCTCGACTGGGCTCATGGCTTCGGTTCGATAGGCCATGAGGAAAGAGTTTTCCCCATGGGAGTTCTGGTCGTAGTTCAGATTACCCAAAGCACTTGAGGCAGGTCATCAACCCAAGCTCCCTTTGATGCATCCAGTTTTCTTTTGAGGACATGTTTGATCGTCTTGTTTACAACCTCAACTTGGCCATTAGCTTGAGGATGACGAGGCGTTGATAAGTGCTTCTTAATTCCAAGTTCTGCGCACAGGTTCCTGACCTTCTTATTGTCGAACTGCCTTCCATTGTCTGAAACTATGGAGTGGAGTATTCTGAATCGGCATATGATGTTCTTCCAAAAGAACTTGGAGGTATTTACTTCTATGATTTTTGCTAGCAGTTCGGCCTCAATCCACTTTGTGAAGTAATCAATGGCCACAATGGAAAAGTTCGCGCCTCCTCTGCCTTTAGGTAAAGGACCTATCAGATCCACGTCCCACTTAGAGAAGGGCCATAGGTTGGAGATGACATTTAGCTCCTGCGAGGGTTGCCTCTAAATGGGGAGAACCGTTGGCACTTTTCACATTTGCGCACGAATTAAAGCGCATCATTTTTCAAGGTGGGCTAGTTGTACCCTTACCTCAGTACCTTTTGTGCCAAGGCTAGTCCTCCTGAATGATTGCCACAAATACTTTCGTGGATTTCTCTCAGAATGTAAGTGGCTTCGTCTCTCCCTACACTGCGAAGAAGTGGAGAGGAGAAACTTCTTTTGTAGAGTACGTCATCAATGAAGAGAAAATGAGCTGACCTCCTTCTCAACTTGTAGGCCTCGTCTTTGTCAGTTGGCAGGACATGGTCCTTTAGGTAGGCTATGATTAGTTACATCCAGGTGGGGGTTCCTTCGAGCCACGTCACCTCAGAGGCCTCGGTAGACGGCGTGATGAGGTGCTCAATTGGTACTATAGCAAGAAGTTCAGAGTCCTTGCTGCTTGTGAGTTTAGAGAGAGCATCTGCATGTGCATTCTCGAGGAGAGGGATCTGCATTATTTTGAATTTTTCAAAAGATAGGAGGAGGTTCATCACCATCTTCAAGTAAGAGACCATGGTTTTATCTCTAGCTGAAAAACTTTCATTCATTTGGCTCACCACCAGCTGGAAGTCACTGTTGATATGTAGCCTCCTTACATGCATTTCTTTGGCGAATTTGAGGCCTGCAAGGAGTGCCTCATATTCAGCAGTATTGTTGGTAGCCTTAAATCTGAACTTCATGGTTGAGTTCAACTTGTGACCTTCTGGGCTGACCAGGACTACCCCAGCTCCCGAACCTGTCTCCAGCCGAACCATCCACGAACATGTTCAACTTGGGAGGTTCAACAGGTTCCATAACCTCCTCCACCTCGGGTATATTGGTGAACTCTGTCACAAAATCAGCTAAAGCTTGGCCTTTGATGGCCGTCCTTGTCTTAAAAACAATGTCGAATTCACTTAACTCCACTGTCCATATTAGTAGTCTTCCTGAGGCGTCCGATTTCTATAGCACTTACCTTAAAGGGAATTTGGTCAACACGTGAATGGTGTGTGCCTGGAAGTAGGGCCTCAGCTTCGTAGAAGCTGTGATCAAGGCTAACGCTAGCTTTTCCATATTGGGATAGTGAGTTTCTGGATATAGGAATGCCTTGCTAGTATAGTACATGGGGAGTTGGGTGATTCCTTCCTCTTGGATTAGAACTGAGCTGGTGGCCTCATTAGAGACGACCAGGTATAGTTGAAGGATATCATCGAGCTTTGGCTTGGAGAGGAGTGGGCCTGTCCTAGATGCCTTTTCAGGCCTGGAAGGCCTTTTCACACTCCTCATTCTATTCAAACTTCTTCCTAGCTTTCAATATTTTGAAAAATGGGAGGCATTTATCGGTGGCCTTGGAGACAAAATGGTTGAGGGCTGCCATTCGTCCCGTTAGGCTTTAGACTTCCTTGGGTTTTTGGGGTGATCTCATCTCGAGCAAGGCACTGATCTTTTAGTGATAAAAGAGGTATTCTCCTTAACAACCGAGTACATGGGTATTTGATTATAGCCCGAGTAGGCGTCCATGAAACTCAGGAGCTCATGCTCGGCAGTGGAGTCAACCAATTGATCAATTCTCGAAAGTGAGAAGCTGTCTTTAGGGCATATCTTGTTGAGATTCATGAAATCGATACATACTCTCCATTTATTGTTGTACTTCTTGACTAGCAACGGGTTTGAGACCCATTTCGGGTAGATGGTCTCTCTGATGAAGCCATTCTTGATTAGGTTTTGCACTTCTTTATTCAAAGCTGCATACCTTTCTGGGTTGAGGGCTCTTCTCTTCTATCGATGCGGGGCAACTTTAGGATCAATCTTTAGGTGGTGACAGCTGACATTGGGGTCTATGCCTACCATGTCCTCATGCCTCCAAGCAAAGAGGTTAAGGTTCTTGCAGAGTAAGTCTTTCAATTTTTCTTTCATGTCATCGTCCAGGCCTATGCCTACTTTTAACACCTTCACGAGGTCGATCGGAAAACTTTCTAGTTCCTCAACCGAAGTTGCTTGGGGTTTATGTTCAGTTACACAGGGATCGATTTCATCGATCATGGAGAGTTGTTCCTGCTCGGGAGATGCGTCGATCATGTCAACATCATCTCGTTTGGGAGGGGCCTCGTTTGGGACGTCTGTCATAACTACATCAATCAGGATGGCGTGTACGTTCCGAGGCTCAACCTTTCTAATAAAGCTCAGGTAGCATTCTCTGGATCTTCTTTGGTCACCTCTCATTGTTATTACCTCATTCTGGATTGGGAATTTCATGCATAAGTGGTGAATGGAAGTGACGGCCCCTAACTCCTTCAGGATTGGTCTACCCAAGACTCCGTGGTAAGCTGATCGACTGTCTACAATAAGGAATTCCATGAAATTCATAGTGGCTTGGGGGATTCTCCCATCTCTACCACCAACGTTATTTTTCCTCTCGGAGTGATACTATCTCCGATAAATCCATATAAAGGAGTGATGGTGGGCATCAACTTATGGTCTAGGATCATCTTGTTGGACCCGATCAGGATGTTAACGAGCTGCCATTGTCTACTAGCATTTGCTTGAGTCCATTTCGGGCCACAACGGCCCTTACCACAAGTGCATCATGGTGGGGATAGTGAACCCTTTCAGAGTCCTCTTGGGTGAAGACGATGGGCGATACTTGGTTCCTTCGGGAGGTGCTGTCGATGATATAACTGGTTAGTGGGAGGTGTTTAGCCTCTTGGGCATAGTTCCATTTTGCATTCCGAGTCTCCCCTCCCACGTAGGGGCCTCCAAATATGGTACGTATCTCGTGAATAGGGGCCTCTTCTCGTGCATGGCGGTTTCCACATGCTTGTGTCCTTCCTTGGGTCTCTCAGCGCCATGCTCCATTTGGCGGGGGGATACATCTCGGTGGTGAGGATGAGCCTCTTCATGCCTAGGTCGCTGGTCGTTCCTAGGCGGGGGCCTGTTCAGCCATGGCGCCTCATTCCTCCTGTCTTAGGGATGTTTCTGTCGGTTGCGGTATGCGTACTCCCGACACTCAAAGGTGTCATGACCGTAGGAGCGTTGGTACGTACAATAATCGAGGGGGTCTGATTAGGCCTATTCCTAGGTCCTGAACCATGCCTCCATCCTGTTCCTCTACAGGGGGGCTTGTTGTGAAGTTCTTGCTTGTGGGTCGGTAGCAGTTGGATTGACGTCCTCATATGCCAAAGTTGGAACTGCGTTCAAAGTGGTTGTGGCAAGTGCTTGCCCTGAATTTCCATTACCAGGTGGGTTCATCTAGTAGTCCATCAAGTGGGAGGTCGGTATCCTGGCGCATTGCCTCTGTTGAGGAGGGAGGCCTCTGCTGGCCCGATTTCGGTGTTCAATTAATCCCTTATTGATAATCTCTCGCCTCGTCATTTCCAACAGGGCGTCATAGGTGGTGGGATCTTGGTTTTGTACGTTCCTTCAAAACAGGGTATTCATATTCAAACCTCCACTTAGGGCTGATAAAGCCTCACGATCAGTGACTTGTACGCAGTACATCATTTCATCGATAAAGCGTGATATAAAGCTTTTTAGGGATTCCCCATGCGCTTGTCTCATGTCTTGAAGGCGCTGGGTAAGGGCTTCTCCCTCTTTGTTCACCGCAAACCTTTTTAGGAAGGTGTTCTTAAATTCTGGCCAACTCCTTATACTCTTAAGTGGCAGTCGACTATACCAAATTTCAGTTACTCTACTAAGTGTCAAATGAAAAGCTTTACACTTCACAGCTAGAGTGGCGCCTCTAAGGCACATATGAGTTTTATAAGCGCTTAGGTGTTTCTTCGGGTCGCCTTTCCCGTCATACTTTGGTATTTTGGGCATCACATAGTGGCTCAGAACCTGGGCACTTCTTAGTTCCCTTGAGAATGGCAGATTTTTATCATCGTCGTCCAAGTCACAGGACCTCTGCTGCTCATCTGAGTCATTATTTTTCCTCGACTTCATACCTGGGTATTTGATGAGAGGGTCCAACTTGGGTCCTAGCCTCCTCCTCCCTCATTTGGTGCCTATTTCTAGGCAGAGCAGCACGGGGAGCATTCTCATGCCTTTCCTTCGGCTAATGAGACATTGGAGGTAGGGGCTGTGGTCTATTTTGAGGCTCGCGTTGCTATTGTTGTTGTTGCTTGTGCCTCGGTTCTGTGGGGCTAATTCTGTCAAAGACGCTGTTAGACCTCCTAGGTCTTTGTTCTGGCTTATATGCTGGTGGAAAGTCGTCCTGGTTATACTGAGCCTCGGTGGGTCAGCCAGCAGCATAATTGGAGAAAACCTCAATTTCTACTTCCCTGTCCATGGGGTTCCTGCCTCGGCTGTATTATGGCGGTACAGGCCTTTGGCTTTGAACTTCCTCATCTTGGTCGTAATGTTCTTAGGGTGCATAGTAAAGAATGGGGAAGCCTTCCTGGCTCTGCATTTGGACCATGAGTTCTCTCATGGCCATGTTTTGGCTACAATATTCCTCATGTTCGCGGCCATGGTGGCCATCTCTCTCGACAGTAGGGCGGCCATCCGCATGCCACCTCTTCTGTGGTAGTGGTGAGGTTGATGCTGGGCAGCAAAGGCAGCAGCCGGTGGGGGCATTCCCACATTTTATCTTACCCTCCTAGGGGGTACATCCTCGTCTGAACTTATTCTCTTCTGTTCCAACTCCAAATAGTTGTTATGGGGCTTTCACTTGTTCTTTTCCAAGAACAAATCCTTTTTCAAGGGGAATGCCCAAATATTCTTTTCGATAAGCTTTCTCTACACGGTTACACGTGATTATAGTATGGTTTCCCACAGACGGCACCAATCTGTTATCCCAGAATACGTTGTCAACAGATACCGAACCTACCCGCATACACGTAAGCCTGGTCCAACATGCTAAGACACGTTGACGGTCTAGAAATAATAGCAAAATGGGGCGTGGAAGCGACTCAAAGGTGTGGAATAAAAACGTTTAAAATTCGATGAGATGTTTGCGTAACGATTGTATAATAATTACCAATCGGTGTTTATAGAATGCGAGTATGAATTCATGCATATTGCAATAGAGTAAAATGTAAAGAATGCTGTATTTATTCTTATGTTAAATCTTGCATTAACCTCTTGAGAAATACATGGGGGAGAGTATTGATAGTGTTACAACTTAGATCGCGGCCCTTGGTTGGGAGTACACGTGGCTTCATCTTGTAAGTTTACATGTTAAATTATAGGCATCACACTTAACTTCCTAACCTGCTACACATTTATTAATTGGCGGCTCTGCCACTACATTGACAAGACAAGACATTTGCACTCTATAATAGGTGACCCATCAATCAATCAAGAAGGATCCTTGTGTAAGATCAGATCTTTGGAGAGGAGTGATGCCTAGAGCCTCAGGGCCTTGGAGAAGATTGGGCCTTAGAAGGAAGGGCCTCAGCTACAAAGTCACCTCGACATATTAGTTTCAGCATTAGCACTTGGCCCATGTCTGGCATGGGGCATCGGATAAGATGCCACGTGGGTCAGAAAAGGTGAGCCATGACGAACAGGGGTTGGGGGCTCGGATAAGATACCACGTGGATAGGAAGAGGTGGGCCAAGAGCCCAGTGGTTCGGCCAAGTGTCAATACGTAACATTATGCATTTTTCAAGCCACAAACACAGTTGGATGCTTCATTCAAACCATGTACATTTGTTTCTATGTCTTTCACGCGCCAAAAATCTCTACGTTACATTAAATAATCCACACTTTTGTTGTCTAATTTAATTTCTCTTATGATAAAGTAAATTATAATTAGCATTTGTGACGAATTTTCTGCTGGAAAATAAATAATTTAAGTTTTAAAAATTTCAAATTAATAATTTGTTGTTTCTATTTTAATTTCCACTCAATACAAAATTAAATTAATAATATTATAGTGTAACATACATATTATAACTTGTGGTATGAAAGTGGTGGTTGTTGTAACTTGAAATAAGTTTCAGCATTTCAAAATTAAAACCTATTAATTTTTAGTTTTAGCATAAAATTAAAAAACCATAATTCATATGATAACTTCTATGTTTTTTCATTATTGTAGGGATTAAAGTTTTACACTATATAAGGGAGTCATTTCTATAATTTGAGAAAACCATTTGAAGCATCATCATTTCTACAATTTTATGTTATACTCTGGCGTCTTGATAAAAGTTCGTTCGCTTATCTCCTTATAGTCGTGCCCATAGAAAGAGAGACACATGTATTTTATCTTGAAATCGTGTAGTATTGAAAGAACTCGCACGAAGGGGAGCAGTGGTGAATCCAAGACTTCGACTCAGCTAGGCCGGGCGTTAATCATTGGTCGTTGAATGTCAATAGTTAATGACCATATAGCGATATCGTTTATTAATATTAAATTAAATAATATTAAAAATTACTTTTATCATTTTTCCTAACATTAAGTGCTGTTTGTGTGGTTCTTCTACGGGTTATTGCTCAAAGACTATAACATATCTGTAAGTCTACCATGCAGAAACATGTGCAAATACAATATTTTTATCTTTATTTTTGAAATGGGATACATAATAATTAATTGTGAGTTTCTAATTATTATTATTATTATTTTCCTGTGAATAGATTCCAAATGTGCAGGGGTTCATCTTTGGAGTACTTCAAATGGTGCTTTATGTAATTTACAAAAATGCAAAACAAGTAATAGAAGAAAATCTTGCTGAAATACAAAAGAAAACTATTTCATTGGAAGATCAGAAGCTTCCAGAACTCAAGGACCAGATTACTGATGTTGTGAAGCCAAGTGCAATTGTGTGATAACACCAGTTGTTCCACAGCTGCTAAGCAATAATTTACCTAACTTAGGGGCAGAGAAAACCCAAAAGAACCAGGTTGATCCGTCCGAGAAGTGAAATAGCACATGAAATCTCAAAGCCTTTCGATTAAGTTTGAATTAGCTAGGAATTAATGCCAATTCCATGTACCTTTTTTATTTATTTTGGAATATGTCTGTCATTATTGCTTATGTAATATGTTCTTGATTTATACTCAATTTGAGAGGAATTTTTAAAATGTATCAGCGTAGTTCTCATGTATCACATCTCAACATAAAAAAATTAACGTATGTTATCAATAACCATCGCGAGAGAGAGAGAGAGAAGGCCAAAAAAAAAAAAAAAGTGTTAAGAGAAACGAAATATACACCTCCTCTTAACATTTTCAATATCTCCAAGGCTGGCCGTAGCATAAGGCAGACAAGGCAACTGCCTAAGGTCTCTGATTTTCTGGAGCCCCTGATTTTTTGGCCCTGTCTAGTAGATGTCATTATTGCAGAAGCAAAAGTTTCTGTATTGTAGGTTGAAGACGTTGAAGATAGGTCATTGTCAGGCCTAAATATTATTTTTCTTTGGACTTTTTTTTTTTTGGGGAACGTAGGCCCATATTGATTAACAGTATATTATTTATAGCTCATATAGGCTACCCCATATACCTCTTAAGAAATTAAGAATTAAAATAGATATGCCATTGGGGAAATTGTCATATGTGATAAGTTAAAAATTTAAACTTGATCATAGTCTCAAGACTCCCAACCTTGTTTGCAAATGGTTTAATTTATGTTTAACATGTTATTTACGTTTAATTTTCATAAACATCCCCCATACTTTGACATCTCCTTTTAATGTTGTAGATTCGTTCGCTCTACTGGGGTGACCTTTTGGGTGAATGATAAAAAGTCCAATGGTATACAGTTCAACGATAAAAAATTGGATTACGAATCTACAAAGTTAAAATTTTAGCAAACTTACTGTGGTGGGTAAATTTTCATGAAGAAGTTTTTAAAATTCCATATCTACTTTTACTATTTACTTTTTCAGCAAACTAACATCCTATGTATCCATTTTTAAGTAGTGGTCCTTTTGTAAAAAATTATTTTTAACATCCTCCATATCCATTTTTAAAGTAGTATTACGTTTGTAATTAATTATGCTTAAGGGCATCATAATCATTGGTTGCCTAGGGCTTCAAAATTCTCGAGGCCGGCCCTGAATATCTCTATAAGAGAATAATAGGAATAAAAATAAAAAGGACCTTACAGGAATCAAATAAAATCTCATTGCCAATTTCTCAATCTATAATGCTCCTCTACCAGACCTGTAAAAGGCCTCCTCTCTCATTTTCTCTCATCTCGACGGGTCTCATAATTAAAAAAATACTCTCCAAAAACCCACCCCCACCCCGAACTGTGAGAGGGGCTGCACTACCAGGCCTCTTACATGTCTGGTAGTGTAGCATGGTCCTTTCTCAATTGTCCCCATATATAGAATTAAAGTAGAACAAAAAATCATGGGATATTGAGCCCAAAATTCACCTTCTCTTGATGTGCTTCTATTACTCTCCAGTATAACGGGTATTTGATATATACTGCTGCAAAATAAAAGAGTGAAAATATTGTCTCTTGTCCAATATGGTATTGTCTAGCGCTAATAATAAATCTTTTCTACACATATTTAGCACATTAATACCGATTTTAGTCAACAAGTAATGGAAGAAACAGAGATGGGATAACGGAAGGTGTTGGCATATTGGAAGGAGAGTGTACGACCGTACATTAGGGGTTTGCCATCATTGACCAGGCAATCGTCAAAATGGAGGCGCTTGAAAACATGGGGGTTGATGAGTCGAGCGGAGCTGAACCACCCACAGTTGACATGGATCCTTGAAATGTTGCATCCCGCAATGCACACGTTCATGATCTCCACGGTGTATGTGGGTATCCCATTTGGCAGTGGCTCCGTGGCCCCTTGGCTTATAACTATGTCTAATAATGAACAGCTTTCGCTCCATATCCTGTTTGGATTAGCCAGCTTTTCCTTTTCCTTTTCTTCTTGTCCTGCAATTTAAAAGCCAAGCAAATACATACAAAGGAACTGCTCTAGCACAAAAAACACTGTGCTGAATAACGTTATTTAGTTCTAGTAAAAAAGCATATCATGCCACATATTCGACTATCCAGGATTTTTTGATATTTTTACTTGTTTGATTAAATTTACAGAATATAAATCAAAGTTCTATTCATTGACGTGTAACATAAATTAGCACTGTGATCAAATATGCCTATTATACTTAAAGAATAGTCCAACGTAGAATTGTCAAAAAGTACCAAACCATCCTTATCCGGACCGCCAAATATAGACTGAGTATGGACTGTGGACCAGGTCCCTGATCGATCACAAGCCAGCCATGGAGCGAGCCATGAGATCTCAAAGTCAAGTGGTGCTGGGCAACTTTGACACAGACTGAACTATAGTGTAGAAGGTGTTGAACAAGATATCACTTCTCAAGGTGTTAATAGAAAAATGAAACTTCTGGGAGGTGCTGCAAAGGAAAAAGGAAAGAGACAATTGAACCAAAAAGGGGTTTGTGCCTTTCCCGACATATTTATCACGGCCTGTGAATAAGTGCTTTCGAGTCAACCAAGCCAAAAGAAGCCATGGATTAGGCGAGAACAAATATAGGCCCTTTATTTTTTGACATTGCTAATCTACTCTGTAAAGCTAACGTAACGTGCAACCGTATTAAATGTTAACTTGAGAAGTCTTAATCAAAGCACACGTGAATTAACTTCTACTTGAAAGCAAAATAATGCAGCCAAATTCTTTATTGCATAATTACTCAACTACAACTTTAGAACAACGCATAATAACCGGAATATAGAACTTTAAGAAGCGGGAATAGGCTTTAACGGAAGGGGTTAGGGTACAGAATGGCTCACAGCACTGCCCGTATCAGGTCCGCCATAAGACTGTACAGTCCATACAATTTTTTTTCATAGTTTTTTGTTTCATTATTCTATAAAATATATGGGAATGCAACAGATGAATCACGACACTAACTATACGAGGCCGGTCTAGAGACCTGTGGTAACTAAGGCTTCGATGGCCTAAGAAGTGGCCAAGATGCACCACCCAAAAAGGACTTGAAGGAGTAGATAGTAGGCTAGGAGGGTGGAGAGCGGTGGAGCAAAAGGGGCTGAGGGCCTGGTGCGCCAGTAAAGTGGGCAGAAATGTACACAGACAACCGAGGGAAAAAAACGGTGGCTAAGGCTGTGTCAATGCTGACTGGCGGTGCAGTATAGAAGCGACACGTGGAGTCTTGCGCACAGTGGCAGAGTCATGCCTGTGCCTGTCGCATATATACATGCAAAGGACAACGCGAAAAGCAGTCACACAGAATACAGAATTACACATACACATGCATATTTGTAACAGTCGTATGCACACTGGGCATTCAGAGTTTCTGTTTTTGGCCTCTTTGTTCACGCATAATGCAAATCCCATTAATGCAGGAGGTTTATCAGTGTAAGGATTATTTTTTCAAACTTCTCTTTATCTAAAAACATTTTAAAATTTAAAAGATAAAAAATGGATAAATTACCAATAATTAAAAGCTTCCGATGAGTAGCAGAGAAAGTGTTGTTCTTGGAAGTACTGTTTATGCTCTTCTTCTCTGAAACTGGATTCAACTCCATTAACCCATGATCTGAAACTATTTAAAAAATCTTAACAAATCGAGCAAGATTATTCAAGTTTTTGGTACTTTGAAAGATAGAGAGGATTTTGTCATTTAATCGTCACGAATAACTTAAATTACAAAACAAGAGCAGGACAGAAAAGTGGGATTAAACAAGGAATGAAGCATGTTATCGCTGAAAGAGCAGATAAAGTCAATGTGGAAACTCCACCAACCCAGTAATTCAATTCCAATATTTTATATACAGTATACCCACAAAACATAGATTGAACACAGCACACACACACCGCACACACAAAAGCGCACAAACACACAAACATGTGTTCAATGAAGACTGACCTGTATAGAGTCCCATGATTAGCAACAATAATGTGAGCGCAAAAATCGCCGTGAATGCAGCGTTGCTCCGCCACCTTCTTGTTGATTCGAAACTCATATTTGATCAGACAACGTCCGGGCAAGATTATTACTGAGTAGGAGAAGACGAATATTTAAGAGAGCCGAGTTAGTTGAGTTGACTCGCAGATAGCTGCTATAGCCATAGTACATAGACCAGCAAATCACCGCCAAAACGGAACTGTATAATCTGCACAGTGATGAAATCTCAGCTTTATATTCTTCTAAACTTTGACTGAAATCCGATCAAGAGAAGAAAATGCAGTGAAATGACTGGACAACTGTGCAACACCATAGCATCAAACGATTAATTTTTCACATCAATATATAGATACAAACTATTACAGCGTATATACATACAAACATTATTCATCAGGAATCAAAGGTGGTAGAATTTAGCTCTGAAAGGAACAATCACGTGTTCTTTTTTTTTTAAACAAAGAAGTATGTGCTTATGTAAAAGAAGAAGAATGGGAATTTCAAATACCTCGGGAATTTTCACAGAACAAATTCATCAATAAAAGTAAGTTTCCCAAAACAGTTAAAGGCAGAATCCCAGGAAAAGTGCCGAGTTGAAATTCCATCTCAATGGTGTTGTTCCTTTCCAATTTAATGCAGACCCACGAGGAAAAAAAATTAAAAAGTGATGATATACTGAATTAAGTATGAATATTTGTTTATATATATGCATTTGCATGTAGATACATATATATACACATGGAAATAAGGCATTTAAAGTCCTATGAAATGCAGCGTTTGTTATATAATTTTCACCTTTGATTTTGGAGAAAGAATTTTTAGAGAGAACGCGTCAATTGCAATTCCCAACTAAGAGCATTTGGCTACAGAGTGTAAGATATAAATTTTGAGTTCTTAAAGCAAGAAAACTTTCATGGCGAAGGGTATAAAATTAGTTTAGTGAACTCAGTAAGGGCGCGTTTGACAATTAAGGTGTTCATTGTTCAATAATTTTTTTAAGTAACTTTTAAGACTTTTAGGTTCATTATTATACTTATAATTAGGAGTTGGCTCAAATTAGGTGTTGAACCAACTCGTTTAAGGTTATTCTAATAAATTTCACATTTTAAGCTTTTAGACTTCAACGTGAATTTTGTATCTCGGGTTGTTCACGAAATGGATAGCTCTATGCCTATCTATATATACAAGACAAAAACGAGTTTAATTTGGCTTTTTGAATTGATCAAGAATGAATGAGAACCAAAGAAGTGAATAAGGAACAAATGATTGTTTGCTGAAATTGAATAAGAACAGGAAATACAGTATTGCCACTTTTTTTGTTGATTTAGGAATAGAATTTCGACTCTGAACCTCAAGTGACATATTCTAGTATGAACTACAATGTGGCATTGACGATGACTTTACGAATAAATAACACGATTCGACACGATAGATTCAATTCAGAAATTAACCAACAAAGGATCAATAGGGTAAACAGTATTGATTCTGTTCTCTTATATCTGCATCAGCTGTTCAAATGTTTTCATGGCAGGAGCAGGCAATCCAAGAAGAACGTTAATGCTTTTTCTTTCTTTTCCATGTGAAAGAAAGAGGATTACTTCCTTTTCAGGCAAAACTACAGGCCCTGATAGCACAGGCTCTCCCCAGCCGAAATCAGTAGTGTGGAATGATAGCCTCGACCATGTAGTGATCAGCAGGGTTGCTGTCAAAGAAGGCCTAGCTCGAGTTGCCTCGAAATAGTCTATAGCAGATCTCATATAGCCGTCTGTCACCATTTTCACTGCCTCTTGAACTAGTTTTACAGTGAATGAAAATGGGTTGTCCACTAATTCACCTGCCTTGCAGAGTGAATTTGTCAATACAATTGCATTGCCAAAGTATCCTTCTGGAATTGGGGGCTCGAATCTAGACCGTCCATCGACTGCAAAAAGTAGCTTTGTCTGTTGATCCTGCTTCATATTTAATGCCTTGCTACGAGCTTTCCATACGTATGCTGAGAGGGCTTCGAATGTGGTGCACTTTTCTAGATTCCCATCTTCTAGTGCATTCTTTCTTAGGTGCTCGAGCTTCTCCGAGTCGAAACAGAATGACTTATAGAGCATTTCTTCTTTGTAAAGTTCAGTTGTGCTTGATATATCTTCAATCTCAGCATATTCATGATGTGGGAATTCCAACTTGGGTGGATTTCTGGCTTTGAGAATGCTTCTGTCCATGAATGGAGGAACCTTAAGTTTAAGGCCTCTGGCAGTTTCACCCCAAGAATTCACAAATTCCATGGCACCAATCCCATCAAACATGCAATGGTTCATGCACAGGCCAAGAACAAAGCCTCCACATTTGAATTTTGTGACCTGAAAGCAAGTTAGCCCTTAATAAGGATGTCTAGGATGAGCACGGAATGGTTGGCATGCTAGATTGAACAGTACTCGATAAAATTAAAGAATAAAAAGAAGTTTGAATATTGTTCGGTTTTATGTAAATAATATCGTCTAATACTGCATATCAAACATGAAACTCTATACCCTATGAGATAGATGATAAGATACACGAACGACACTTAGCAAAAAGAATCATTCTTAGGCTGGATATGTCAAACTCGAGTTTGTTAATAATCTTGCAAATTCAAGCTTCAGACGATATGTAAGGACGCAAAACTAAGTTAATATAGATTCTATCATCCAATCATGGAGCGAAAAATCTTCCAAGTTCATCCTTATGAAAATTTCCTTAACATGAATGGGAAACATCTTAAATAAACCAAGCGATGTACTTACTTGAGCCACCAGAGGAGGAATTTCTAGAATGTTTTTGGCACCAGGGATGTCGTAAACTAGCTTCCCAAGAGTGATGGGATCAGGCCTCGTAATGTCACCTAAATCTTCAAGCTTACAATCTGCCTCAGCCTCGACAAATACAGCACCTTCCCCGGTACAGTCCACAATAAGCTTCATTTCCGGGCTAATGGTCAGCCGTCCTGCAAGAGGATAATAGTGCACCAGAACCTTCGACAAGGCATCCTTAATCACTTGCACAGCATCCTCATTGCCCCTTTCCTCTGATTTAAAACAGTAAATTGTACGAACTATAACTGCAATATTTTGATCCAGATTCGACAAAAAGTATAGCCCCTTCATCGTCTCCTCGGCTGGAGGAACCAGAGTAGGCTGCCCTTGTTTAACAGCAAGCTCAAACATATGGATGCTACCGTTTGCCATCTTCCAAACTCCTTTAACGTCGAAAACCTTGAATCAGAAAAAAAATGTTAGAGAGTAAAACTAAGGACACGAAATTAGATTATGCATTCATCCACGTAAAAAAAGCATTAAAACATAAGAAACTAGAAAGATGCCTGTTAAGCAGAAGTATATGACAATTGCCCGGATTCAAAAACTAAGATTAATGTATTAACAAGATTAGGATTACAGCAAATATATAGGGAAACGTAGTTCAAGAAAAATTAATATGGTTAAGTTTTGGTTAACAAAGACGTACTATTGAAAGGGACTGGTGGCAATACTAGTTCATAAACAATGCTATTAAAATGGAAAAGTCTTAAGAAAGAAAACTGGGTTATTTTGAATAATTCCATGAAAGATTCTGCAAATGTCACGTAGTTGTGGTAGGCTACTTGCCATGTTACTTGCTCGGGAGATTTAGAGACTGGAGACTAGCGTGGGGGTGAGATTAGGTAGGGTTGGTATCCAAATTTTACTTACTTGATTTTATTAAATTTGATTTTTATATATGCCCCTCGTCATTTATTTCCAGCATAAAGAGAAAGGACAGAGTAGAAGATTATGATCAAATCCTTAATCAAATTTTGTCACCGAAATGTAGGATAGGATTGTTTCATCGTGGATACTTTTTGTCGAACAGTATTTGGCTCGTGGTAATTTTTTTTTTTATTTTTTTATTTTATGATAATATGATAAAAAGTCCAATGGTATACAGTTCAACGATAAAAAATTGGATTACGAATCTACAAAGTTAAAATTTTAGCAAACTTACTGTGGTGGGTAAATTTTCATGAAGAAGTTTTTAAAATTCCATATCTACTTTTACTATTTACTTTTTCAGCAAACTAACATCCTATGTATCCATTTTTAAGTAGTGGTCCTTTTGTAAAAAATTATTTTTAACATCCTCCATATCCATTTTTAAAGTAGTATTACGTTTGTAATTAATTATGCTTAAGGGCATCATAATCATTGGTTGCCTAGGGCTTCAAAATTCTCGAGGCCGGCCCTGAATATCTCTATAAGAGAATAATAGGAATAAAAATAAAAAGGACCTTACAGGAATCAAATAAAATCTCATTGCCAATTTCTCAATCTATAATGCTCCTCTACCAGACCTGTAAAAGGCCTCCTCTCTCATTTTCTCTCACCTCGACGGGTCTCATAATTAAAAAAATACTCTCCAAAAACCCACCCCCACCCCGAACTGTGAGAGGGGCTGCACTACCAGGCCTCTTACATGTCTGGTAGTGTAGCATGGTCCTTTCTCAATTGTCCCCATATATAGAATTAAAGTAGAACAAAAAATCATGGGATATTGAGCCCAAAATTCACCTTCTCTTGATGTGCTTCTATTACTCTCCAGTATAACGGGTATTTGATATATACTGCTGCAAAATAAAAGAGTGAAAATATTGTCTCTTGTCCAATATGGTATTGTCTAGCGCTAATAATAAATCTTTTCTACACATATTTAGCACATTAATACCGATTTTAGTCAACAAGTAATGGAAGAAACAGAGATGGGATAACGGAAGGTGTTGGCATATTGGAAGGAGAGTGTACGACCGTACATTAGGGGTTTGCCATCATTGACCAGGCAATCGTCAAAATGGAGGCGCTTGAAAACATGGGGGTTGATGAGTCGAGCGGAGCTGAACCACCCACAGTTGACATGGATCCTTGAAATGTTGCATCCCGCAATGCACACGTTCATGATCTCCACGGTGTATGTGGGTATCCCATTTGGCAGTGGCTCCGTGGCCCCTTGGCTTATAACTATGTCTAATAATGAACAGCTTTCGCTCCATATCCTGTTTGGATTAGCCAGCTTTTCCTTTTCCTTTTCTTCTTGTCCTGCAATTTAAAAGCCAAGCAAATACATACAAAGGAACTGCTCTAGCACAAAAAACACTGTGCTGAATAACGTTATTTAGTTCTAGTAAAAAAGCATATCATGCCACATATTCGACTATCCAGGATTTTTTGATATTTTTACTTGTTTGATTAAATTTACAGAATATAAATCAAAGTTCTATTCATTGACGTGTAACATAAATTAGCACTGTGATCAAATATGCCTATTATACTTAAAGAATAGTCCAACGTAGAATTGTCAAAAAGTACCAAACCATCCTTATCCGGACCGCCAAATATAGACTGAGTATGGACTGTGGACCAGGTCCCTGATCGATCACAAGCCAGCCATGGAGCGAGCCATGAGATCTCAAAGTCAAGTGGTGCTGGGCAACTTTGACACAGACTGAACTATAGTGTAGAAGGTGTTGAACAAGATATCACTTCTCAAGGTGTTAATAGACAAATGAAACTTCTGGGAGGTGCTGCAAAGGAAAAAGGAAAGAGACAATTGAACCAAAAAGGGGTTTGTGCCTTTCCCGACATATTTATCACGGCCTGTGAATAAGTGCTTTCGAGTCAACCAAGCCAAAAGAAGCCATGGATTAGGCGAGAACAAATATAGGCCCTTTATTTTTTGACATTGCTAATCTACTCTGTAAAGCTAACGTAACGTGCAACCGTATTAAATGTTAACTTGAGAAGTCTTAATCAAAGCACACGTGAATTAACTTCTACTTGAAAGCAAAATAATGCAGCCAAATTCTTTATTGCATAATTACTCAACTACAACTTTAGAACAACGCATAATAACCGGAATATAGAACTTTAAGAAGCGGGAATAGGCTTTAACGGAAGGGGTTAGGGTACAGAATGGCTCACAGCACTGCCCGTATCAGGTCCGCCATAAGACTGTACAGTCCATACAATTTTTTTTCATAGTTTTTTGTTTCATTATTCTATAAAATATATGGGAATGCAACAGATGAATCACGACACTAACTATACGAGGCCGGTCTAGAGACCTGTGGTAACTAAGGCTTCGATGGCCTAAGAAGTGGCCAAGATGCACCACCCAAAAAGGACTTGAAGGAGTAGATAGTAGGCTAGGAGGGTGGAGAGCGGTGGAGCAAAAGGGGCTGAGGGCCTGGTGCGCCAGTAAAGTGGGCAGAAATGTACACAGACAACCGAGGGAAAAAAACGGTGGCTAAGGCTGTGTCAATGCTGACTGGCGGTGCAGTATAGAAGCGACACGTGGAGTCTTGCGCACAGTGGCAGAGTCATGCCTGTGCCTGTCGCATATATACATGCAAAGGACAACGCGAAAAGCAGTCACACAGAATACAGAATTACACATACACATGCATATTTGTAACAGTCGTATGCACACTGGGCATTCAGAGTTTCTGTTTTTGGCCTCTTTGTTCACGCATAATGCAAATCCCATTAATGCAGGAGGTTTATCAGTGTAAGGATTATTTTTTCAAACTTCTCTTTATCTAAAAACATTTTAAAATTTAAAAGATAAAAAATGGATAAATTACCAATAATTAAAAGCTTCCGATGAGTAGCAGAGAAAGTGTTGTTCTTGGAAGTACTGTTTATGCTCTTCTTCTCTGAAACTGGATTCAACTCCATTAACCCATGATCTGAAACTATTTAAAAAATCTTAACAAATCGAGCAAGATTATTCAAGTTTTTGGTACTTTGAAAGATAGAGAGGATTTTGTCATTTAATCGTCACGAATAACTTAAATTACAAAACAAGAGCAGGACAGAAAAGTGGGATTAAACAAGGAATGAAGCATGTTATCGCTGAAAGAGCAGATAAAGTCAATGTGGAAACTCCACCAACCCAGTAATTCAATTCCAATATTTTATATACAGTATACCCACAAAACATAGATTGAACACAGCACACACACACCGCACACACAAAAGCGCACAAACACACAAACATGTGTTCAATGAAGACTGACCTGTATAGAGTCCCATGATTAGCAACAATAATGTGAGCGCAAACATCGCCGTGAATGCAGCGTTGCTCCGCCACCTTCTTGTTGATTCGAAACTCATATTTGATCAGACAACGTCCGGGCAAGATTATTACTGAGTAGGAGAAGACGAATATTTAAGAGAGCCGAGTTAGTTGAGTTGACTCGCAGATAGCTGCTATAGCCATAGTACATAGACCAGCAAATCACCGCCAAAACGGAACTGTATAATCTGCACAGTGATGAAATCTCAGCTTTATATTCTTCTAAACTTTGACTGAAATCCGATCAAGAGAAGAAAATGCAGTGAAATGACTGGACAACTGTGCAACACCATAGCATCAAACGATTAATTTTTCACATCAATATATAGATACAAACTATTACAGCGTATATACATACAAACATTATTCATCAGGAATCAAAGGTGGTAGAATTTAGCTCTGAAAGGAACAATCACGTGTTCTTTTTTTTTTAAACAAAGAAGTATGTGCTTATGTAAAAGAAGAAGAATGGGAATTTCAAATACCTCGGGAATTTTCACAGAACAAATTCATCAATAAAAGTAAGTTTCCCAAAACAGTTAAAGGCAGAATCCCAGGAAAAGTGCCGAGTTGAAATTCCATCTCAATGGTGTTGTTCCTTTCCAATTTAATGCAGACCCACGAGGAAAAAAAATTAAAAAGTGATGATATACTGAATTAAGTATGAATATTTGTTTATATATATGCATTTGCATGTAGATACATATATATACACATGGAAATAAGGCATTTAAAGTCCTATGAAATGCAGCGTTTGTTATATAATTTTCACCTTTGATTTTGGAGAAAGAATTTTTAGAGAGAACGCGTCAATTGCAATTCCCAACTAAGAGCATTTGGCTACAGAGTGTAAGATATAAATTTTGAGTTCTTAAAGCAAGAAAACTTTCATGGCGAAGGGTATAAAATTAGTTTAGTGAACTCAGTAAGGGCGCGTTTGACAATTAAGGTGTTCATTGTTCAATAATTTTTTTAAGTAACTTTTAAGACTTTTAGGTTCATTATTATACTTATAATTAGGAGTTGGCTCAAATTAGGTGTTGAACCAACTCGTTTAAGGTTATTCTAATAAATTTCACATTTTAAGCTTTTAGACTTCAACATGAATTTTGTATCTCGGTTTGTTCAAGCAATGGATAGCTCTATGCCTATCTATATATACAAGACAAAAACGAGTTTAATTTGGCTTTTTGAATTGATCAAGAATGAATGAGAACCAAAGAAGTGAATAAGGAACAAATGATTGTTTGCTGAAATTGAATAAGAACAGGAAATACAGTATTGCCACTTTTTT